GGGATGGCTAGTATTGTCGTTCCGGCACGAGTGATGGGATACGATTCAAAAAGTGAAAGTGCCCACGATTATTGTACAGGGCGTCTCCCTCCACATGCTTATTTCAGTGCATTGTGTTGGATGTCAAGTGGATGTTTGGATTGCTCCGAATGAAAGCAAGAAGGGTACTACATTGGGGATCAGTTTGAGCGGAGAGGAGTCAAACTTCGTCTGGTCATGACGGCACTTGCTCGACCGATTTTGAGTAGAGCAGCTCTCGGCTATTGGCGCCAAATACTCTTAAGCACATAACACACATGTATATCATGATATGGCAATTCCTTCCCTTCCTTCCTTTCCTTCTTCTGTTGAGATTAGGTTGGCTATTGGGAAATCTTGCGATAATCTCACTCATTGAAGGGCGGTTGGGACTGCTTTGCTACGCACTTTTGGGTACGCACTAACTAACCGGAATTGGTTAGAGCTTGGCTCTTTGAGATTTTCAAGCCTCACCATCCATACGACAGTACGACGAAATCAACGACTGCACCCCGCATCGATTTACGCATCTGCCCTGCAGGCCCTTTCCTTCGCTATCGCTCCCGTTTTCACCGCGAAGCAGACCACACGTTTCACCATGTCTCGGTTTTTCCACGGCGGTCTCAGCGACAGTGAATCTTCCTCATCCGACGAGGAGGAGCTCTACTCCGAAGAAGAAGAGTCTGAAGAGGAGGAAAGCTCCGAAGAGGAGGAATCTGCAGAGGGGGGTGATAGCGACGAGGATAGCGATGAAGAGGGAGGATCGCGGTTCTTGCGAGGAGCAGAAAGCGATGACAGCGACGAGGACGATGACAAACGAATTGTCAAGAGTGCGAAGGACAAGCGGCAGGAGGAGATCGAAGGAATGATCAAGGCCATCGAGAATGCTCAGAAGATCAACGACTGGGTTACCATCTCTGCCGGTTAGTGTTGCTTTCCTTGTTCTGTGGCAGGATGGCGGGGTAGCGGGGCTAGGGCCGGATAGGAGCGATATCACGATGCTGATGGAATACTTTGTGCAGAGTTCGACAAGCTCAACAGGGCCGTTACGAAGACCAGCCTGGGAACTTCAGCACCCAAGGTCTACATCAAAGCTATCGCCGAGCTGGAGGAGTTCATGAACGACACCATCAAAGACAAGGTTGCTGCCAAGAAAATGAATGCCGCCAATGCTCGTGCTCTCAACGCAATCAAGCAGAAGGTCAAGCGGAACAACCGGACATACGAGACGGAAATTGAAGCTTTCCGCAAGGACAAGGATGGTTTTATGGTGGTGGAAGAAGTGCTGGAGTCGGTCCAAGTCCCTAAGAAGGGACCGAAGTCTCCTCTGCAAAATGTTGCACCAGAGAACGATGACGATGACGGGTTTTCGACAGTTGGCCGTGGTGGAAAGACTCTCAGCTACACCCCTGAGAGTATCTTTAAGCACCTTCGGGTGATCATTGAGAGCCGTGGTAAGAAGAACACGGACAGGGGCGAGCAAATCAGAGTCATGGAGAAGTTGTTGGAGGTTGCACAAACGTCATATCAGAAGATCAAGGTTCTGCTTGCATTGATCTCTACACGATTCGATCTTACGACCGGCTCTCAGTCTTACATGTCAGTTGAGCAGTGGAAAGCGTTAGTTTATCCATTCCCGTGATATCTAGAAATTTAGAGCTGACTGGGCAAACTTTCAACAGTGCAGAGAAGGAGTTCAATGTTCTGATTAATACCCTTGAGGCCAGCTCGCAGTTTGTGGTAGTTGAGTCCGCCGAAGAATGGGATGATGAAGAGAGACCCCCACAGCCCGAGGAAGGGGAGATCTTCAAGGTCCCTGGTAGCATCGTTTCAATTGTTGACAGACTCGATGATGAGCTTACCCGCTCATTACAACACATTGATCCCCATACTACCGAATATATCGAGCGGTTAAGCGATGAAGGAACCCTCTATACCTCTATTCTCCGAAGTCAGCTCTACCTTGAGCGGCTACACAGCAAACAGGGAATCCCTAGTGATGAATCCCTAAATCGTGTCATCATGCGGAGATTGGACCATGTTTACTTTAAGGTATTTACTCCCGGTCCCGTTTTGAACCTGTTTCATAATAGCTTATTATTGCAGCCTGAGCAAGTTATCACGACCGGCGAGGACAAAGCTTGGAAGGCAATACCCAAAACTCTCGATTCGATCATCTCCCCACGAAGCAAGGCGACAGGCCCCGCAAGTGAACTCCTCCACGTCTTGTGCACGTATCTTTATCAACATGATGCTACCGTTTTACGTACTCGTGCCATGCTTTGCCACATTTACCATTACGCCCTTCACAACCAGTTCTACAAAGCTCGCGACATGCTTCTTATGTCACATTTGCAAGAGACAATCCACGTTGCAGATGTTAGCACACAAATTCTTTACAACCGTACACTTGTTCAGGTCGGTCTCTGTGCCTTCCGTGCAGGTTTGATCTATGAGGCACAGACCGCGATGCAGGAGATCTGCGGAACTGGCAGACTCAAGGAGCTTTTGGCTCAGGGTGTACAAATTCAGCGTTACATGCAGGTTACTCCTGAGCAGGAACGTCTCGAACGTCAGCGGCAACTTCCGTTCCACCAGCACATTAACCTTGAGCTTTTGGAGTGTGCTTATCTTACCTGCTCCATGTTGCTGGAGATCCCGGCCCTTGCCGCTACTGGCTCAAGCCCCGACGTCCGAAAACGTGTTATCAGCAAGACCTTCCGAAGAATGCTCGAGTACCATGAGCGACAGATTTTCACCGGCCCTCCGGAGAACACCAGGGATCATGTCATGCAGGCCGCTAAGGCTTTGGCGGCTGGTGAATGGAAAAAGTCCAGCGAGTTGATTCATGCCATCAAGATTTGGGATCTCCTACCAGACCCACAGAAGATTAAGGATATGTTGAGCGAAAAGATTCAGGAGGAAGGTCTTCGGACGTACCTGTTTACATACGCACCCTTCTACGACACCCTCTCGCTCGATCGGTTGACCGAGATGTTTGATCTCCCCAACCGGAAGGTAGCTGCACTTGTCTCAAAGATGATTGCCCACGAGGAAATCGCGGCTGCCTTGGACCAAGTCAATAATGCCATCATCTTCAGGAAGGGTGTTGAGTTGTCGAGACTACAGACCTTGGCTCTCACGCTTGCTGATAAGGCTAGTGGCTTGACTGAGATGAACGAGAGGTATCTGGAGCAGAAGACACAGGGACAGGGAGGCTTCCAGGAGGGCGGTGCGCAGAGGGGTGGTACCCGTGGACGCGGACGTGGACGTGGGCGCGGTGGACGCGGTGGACGAGAGGGAGACCGAGAAGGTGGTCAACGACCGCAGAAGAATGTTCAATTTCAACAACAGTCCGGCTTCCATGGGGGAGCTATGAAGACGTAGGGCATAACGGTTTGAAAAAAGTGGTTTGTTTGGGTTCTTTTCTGTTTTTAAGTGGCATTTTTTTCCATCCTTTCTTCGAAACATCTTCTTTCGGGATGGTTGCAACCATGTACCTAAACACCAGCCTGTTTGCACAATCGTGTCGAGAGAAATGGAAAAATGGATTTTCTATCGGAGTAATGACGGTGGGGGTTTTCGTGTACCGTGTGTTTTTGCGTCCATGCATTGGTGTTTTTTTTTCCTTCAATACCGGCTTGATAGGGGGATAGATTTACCTTGTTTACGATGCCATACTGGAAATGGATTGTTGGATAAGAGACACCCTCCCACAGACCATAGATTTTCACCCGCATCGGGCTTCTTTGTGGAAAAGATAAGGTGGATCAGCAGGTACGGAATATTCCAACACCCTCGGCAGTAGTCTGTCAGACGGCTTCTTGGTCAGCATGTGCATGTGTTTATATTTCGGAATTTAGACTGTTTGGACTCATAGATTTCAGGACCAGAGTAGATAAGCATTTTGCAGCATTTCTCACCAAAAATAGAGGCGGAATCCCACATGCAAATCTGACCTGAAATTTGTGGATGACGCTGCAGCAGCTGCTTAGGCTCCAAGTCATGTATCACGGAGGTCCCGGTTCAGCGCATCTTTAGGCTTTTGATATTGAAAGAAGTCGTCACGCACGAATCTTGTACGAGCCCTGATGCCCGTATATGCACCTCGACATGGCGAATCACACTTTGTCACCATGGATATTTACTGCCTTTAAGTACCATATACTTATTTTTGAACTGGGCCAATGATGTAATACAATGAATTGGACCTTTCGTCACTCTATCCTGTTTTCATGGAACGAGTGATGCATGTCATCGTTTCACGGCTTCTCACTCCACGGCCGTCCAAACATATGCTCAGCGGAAAGATGAGAATTTTCATTGGTTGTTTTGGTATACAGCGGTTCACATGGTGCTTGTGTGAAGGTAGAAAACAACAATTTCCTCAGTCACAAAGAGACCTAGCTGACGAAAGTTCTTGGTCACATCGCAGTTCAGGTGATGAAAGATATGGGAATAGCTTAGATTCAAAGCTTGAGCTCTTGTATAAAAAAATGCCAACAATCAGCTTTGACAGTCAAATCCTAGAGACAGTCAAATTTCTAGACTATTAAACTATTGCTCACTTTCTAGCTACAATTGTTGTACTGGACTCCTGCAGAGATGAACCTGACGAAACCGGAGGGTTTCACAAACAAGTCTGAAGCAAATTCTAAACAATGGCAGGAAATGATGTGACTCGAGACCACGAGCTCTATTTGGCAATCAGGCGAGGCGTAAGTATGGGTTCAGCCATGGGCACGGCGATGAACATAGAGATGAGTAGAGTACAGTTATAACTATGAACTCAGCGATTGTAGCTAGCAAATAGGTAATTGATCGGTTTTGGTAAGTCGGAGAGTTGGCTGTCGCCGCGATTTGACTATCACAGCTGACTGCCTCTAGAAAAGCTGACTTAAGCATCAGTATTCAATGCTCATCGTGTGATATTTAATGCAGTTGCAGGTGAAAAGGCACAAAATTTGGTTGTGCATATCGATGGTTTCGTGGTGTAGTTGGTTATCACATTTGTCTAACAGATTCCCGAATCTGGACACAAAAGGTCCCCAGATCGAGCCTGGGCGAAATCATCTTTTTTGCTTCCCCCAAGTTTTTTTAAACAACCCTGACGCTTGTCACAATGTATATATTCTATACCATTATTGCAGCACGGGCTCAAACCCTAAGGCAACAACTACACATCTATATGTCTAGATGCTGTTATCCCTCAGGTATCTTTATAAATTAACTTTCCCCCCCATGGCACAGTATCTAGATCTAGAATTGTACCCGCTACCATACTTCTTGCACACAACCTCCGCTTCCCAGTGATATCACTTCTTTCTGGAAGCAGCTATTCCTGTCTGCCCAGTAATCGATAGATACCCCGGGCCCACCGTACATACTTACATATTTCTACTTCCCCTCATTGTCCCGTTCTCCCATATCGCTTCCGATAAACACTGGCTTGATTGCTCAATCATCGGATCCTAAACCAAGCTCTTGATTATACGACGACAATGCCTATCCTATAACAAGGTTGTTAATATCCAATACACCACACACCATGGCCACGAGGAGTACCTTACCATATATAACTTTCTATATCTCGTCCGACGGAGACAAGTTCGGCCTCGTTATTGGGTAGTCTTGGTCAGACAATTCTTTCCCGCTACTCACTTCACAGCAGAGTTTCCAGCCGAGGCTATAGCTAGGGTCTGATCCATATTTCCAAATCGGGCGATCGGTGTGGTAACGGGTTGGTTCCTCGGCGAGCAACATCGGTTCGCCCCCACAGCAATTCCCAATTGTCAGGGAAGGGACTTTAGCCCTAAACCTGCGGGTGTATTATCGAACGTCAAGCGTTGCTGTACGGCCGGATTATCAAGATGAGGTTGATGCTGATCCCCCATAAGTTACTCTGGAATGCAGATCCCGAACGACGGTCGTCCAGTGTTGATCCCATTGCGTGTCTTTGATAACTTGGAGAAGGGCTAGCACCGTGCCTAAAGGTTGTGAAGATAGTTGACCTCCATGGAAAGTATGCAGAGCTACTCTGCAACAAGACTGCACGGACTCTTTTAGATTCGACTGTCTGAGATTCCGTAATATCTCTCCGGTGTTATAAAAAAAGCAACCATATAAAGAAGGGAAGGAGAATATAGAAATCCCCAGCAATATTGATGGATCAATGTGAGTCCTTTCCTTTCGACTCATCTCCGACGGTCTGGCATACCAAGTTTATCTGAGTAGACTTCTTACTGAGAAGTCTACAGCTGGTCGAGACTCAAATCAATGGGTAGATTTCTATCCAGTAAAACCACGTCATGACGTCTGATATGGAGAGTATCTGTACTCTGTAGTACTGTAGTACTTGAAGGAGGGAAGCAACTCGGATGGTGTACATGATACAAGGCCCGGCCGGCGAGGTTTTCAGACTAGCTAGGGCAAGCCTAGCTTCTCGAGACTGCACTTAGTTGGAAATCAGGCCAGCCAAATCCAAAATTTTAAAGCCTGGCCGGTTGGTCCCAAATGATCGGCGACTAAAGGTCAGCCGGATTGTGACCGACAGATATCGTCGTTGGAATCTTAGTCTGTTGCACTTGCCCAAGCGAAGGAAGTTAAGTCAAGACGGGTTCCAGAAAACGCATGTTCCCATTTGGCGTGTTGGTTCCATTCTACCACCGTACCCAGAGGTCGGGGACACCGCTCTTAGCGCAAGCCATGGCCGGTTAGGAATCTTGTATGCAAGTAACCGGCGAAGGGTGACTGGTGGACGGTTGGTACTTAGCTTTTCCGTTTCCTCAAGCGAAGGAAGTTCTGGTGGATTAGAGCGTCCCAGAAAACGCATGTTCTCGTATGGGCGCGTTGGTCCTACTCTACACCGTATTCGTCATTTACCCCGTGCCTACTCGCGTGCCCGGCGGGTAGGTATCCTGGTACCAATGGAGTAGTTCCCGTATGGGGTCTGGAGAGTCCTTGAAATTCCCGAGTAAGTCCAAGATTTCAAACCCGAGAAGTGGTGGTTGTTACCCACCTCCTAAATCGTTAGGTCTTAGGAGTTGTCATTTGCTGGTGAGGAGAAGTTGGTCTCAAATCCCCTATTGGAAACTACTCCATTGACGTAAAAGATGGGGAGTCTTGGGAGAACTCGAGTGGTTGTTGTCGGAAGGGGAGGTCCTCATGACGGTTTTGAACAATTTATGGTGCGTGTTATCGGGACCGCTATAATGGCACCTAGGACTCGGTTCGGAGACGGGTTGTAATGAAGCTTTGCAAAAGAACAGTCGGTCGGACCCCATCCAATGCATCTTCTAAACTCAGCTAGCAACATATGTACGGCTCCTCCTCCTCCTCCGAAGAGGATGGAAATTTCGGAAGAACCGTACCCAACCCCCCTCAGAGCGACATAGATAGAGTACCTACTTCGACCGCATTGCCCCCCACCAGGAGAGGTGATTGGGCAATCCTCTCGGGCTCGGGTGCGCTTTCACAGCTACGCGCTCCTTATTAGATGATGAGTGCATTTGGACGAGGTGGTTAGATCGGAGTCGTAATGCGTGCTGTGTGTGGGGGTTTAGGCTAGTAAAATCATCGCATTAGTGTTCTTATAAACATGCAGGATGAGCTTAAACTCATTAAGAAGACAATGGACATTCAATCATGGGCCACTTCACCCATACAAAGGAGTTATTTAAGCTATCCTAACTTCAGAAAGCCGGCGTTAAGCAAGCTTGGGGTCTAAGGTTCACGAATGTACAACCCCACTAGGCAAGAAGAGAACATCGCCAAAGAGAAACAAGCTTTCTTTTAGTGGGCTGACGACGACAACGTCACTCATTGATATCCAAAATACCATGCCGGCCGATAACCTAGATATGCGGGATGGAGTAATACTTCAAAATCTCGATATATACACCGAAAGCAGCAGACGCAGCTTTGTTCACGGAACACTCTGGACCGACGACATACACCTGTACGGGAACCGGCAGATGGATGAGAAAAGAACACCCTGACCTCCACGAGTTTTTGAACTGTTTATGAAAAACCCGCTGCTGGCGATCGCGACTAGGTAGTGTCGAATAGAGTCGTTGTTCACGCGGCAGAATAAGAAAGAAAGAGTCCACTACATCCATATAGAGCATGGCTCCAATTGTGGCCACGGATTACTACGGAACATCCAGTCCAGTCCCTGTTCCACAACAAACCCGCAAGAAAGGAAAATCCGCGCGGCATCTCGATCGTTCAATCCCCCAACGCGTGAAGGGGATCCCCAAAAAAGGATAGGTAAATCCCTACAAAACCGCATTTGCCAACAACACGACGAACGACGACAGAAGTATAGTTGCGTGCCGTGCGGGGGGGAGGGCGCAAAGCAATATATCTAATCTTCATAACACAACTTACTGGAGAATTATCCCTTCTCCTCCTGTGTATTCTGCGGGAATAGAGAAAAAAAAGAAAATAGATAATTCACACTGAGCATCCTATCCTAGCCATTATCATACATCACAACTACGGGCTCCTGACCGAAGAAGCGGAGTTCGGAGAGGCGCGAGCACGCGATGACAACTGCAGTGACACGGCAAATTGAACGTGGTTCGAAGTATATGGAACGAACAGCACATTGAAGGGGGCGGGAGAGGTTCCACCACGAAGTCATCAAACGAAAAGCCCGCCTCATATATTTTCTAATCGCTGTACTGTGAATGGGCCATTCCATGGCCATGAAGCGGACGGATGCGTTCGGAATCCGGTATAGATAAAAGTTGCGCGAAGGATCACTTACTTTTAGCTTGTTTTTTTTAAAAAGTTCCACTAACTTTATATATACCCATAACTCCGATCTACCGTAACCTCCCCCCGAGAGCTGGTTAACTTCTGACCCCCAACCACAATCTTATAGGGTAGGCAATGAATACCCCCTAGTCAACGATGAATCCCAGGATACACTTTCAACAGCATAATCGTGAAGAATGGGGGCGAGAGAGAGAGGGAGAAAATGACTTATATCGATATTCCAGGGACGACCTTAGACGGGGGGGATATGAAGGGAGTTACAAAACTACAAACAATACGCTAGCGGCCGATTATAGAGTTAATATGATTACAAAATAAAAACCACGGGAGATCGTGACATTCTTTCTTCAGCCTTGCTGGGGGGGGTTTGCAATTGAAAGGTGAAACATTGAATAATTGAATATTTCCCCATCAATATCGTCTAGGAAGGAAGGGAAGGGCCAAACGAACAAATCTACGTCATGAGATATTTTGTCTACCTTCTGGCTTCTATCTTTAAGACCGAAGGAAGGAAGGAAGGAAGGAAGGTACTTAGTTGAGATACGATATGATGCCACCCCCCGCCCTACCCCCCACAAGGTAGATACATGTATCTGCCTATCTACCTTACCCAGTTACCGCAATGTGAAGATGACGAGATGATGCGCGCGGCTAAAGAAGGTTCTTTTTAATTTCGTTGAAGGGGACCTCGGAATTTAATTGGGCTGGGGTTGAAAGATATAGAACAAATGCACGCAAATAAGGTTTTGGTTACTCTCCTCAATGAGGCGGCGCTCACGGCGGGAAGGCAAGCGACGTATGCCTGCCCATCCTTGCCGGGGATCCATGCTAAAGAATTTTCTGGAATTTGTCCAAAATAGGAATCCCACCGGGGCACGAGGAAAGAGAGAGAGAGAGAGAGAGCTGTGACCGAGTTTTGTTTTTTGTTTTTTTATAACTATTTGAGTCTTTTCTTTTGAGGAAGTTCTGAGAGTAAATATCGGGCCTTGAGGTGATTAGGGGAACCTCCGACGATAGCAACTCGAGGCGTCTTCCGAGGCATTATGAAAAAAACTACGACTACACAAATCCTCGCTCGCCGCAATGCCCGCCGTCATGCCCGCCAACCCCCACACTACAAAAAAAAGCAAACATTTAGCTCCATCCATAATTTGGATGTTTATTATACTGTGCCTCATTTGTTTAACCAAGGGTAAGTCCTTGATTTCCCTAACGGTCCCACTACCGTTAGCTCGAGACGAGATTCACTAAAAAAAACCCTAGTAGAAAAGTCTGTGGCTGAAAAAGTGTG